ACACCCACACCCACACCCACATCCACACCCACACCCACATACCTACACCCACACCCTAGGACTGTGGCTGTGAGCATTTGGAAAGATAAAAATGCACCCATACCCACGTGTATTTTGATATGTACCATTGGTTACTTTTCTGACGAAATCAATAACAACTAATATCTGTTTCCAAACTAAAAAATGTTGCATCAACTCAATAGCTTGACTGTTGTTTTGAGTAATCGAGAACTTTGGATATTTTTTATTTGTCGAATACTATATAATTCAATTAAATAAACAAGAAAAATGCTTTAGAATTTTAAGAAAAAAAATAGTAAAATAAGAAGAAACAGTACAAATTATTATGTCTTCGTAATGTGTGAAAGCTTTTGAATGAATAGATTTAGGCTCGAGATTTTTAATGTGTAAAAATGATCGTGTTTATTTTTTGTAATTTCATTTTCATTCAAGAAGTTGAACGTATTTTTATACCTATGATTGTTATGTTGAATTTATTCCTACAGAGAAGATTTTAGCTACTTGTGATAGTTTAAATGAATTTTTAGTTCAATTTTGATACATAGAAACCTAATATTATTAATTGAAATTATTATTAAGAAAATATGTTCTTAGACAACATGCTATAATATATTTATCAAATTTATTTTCTACTTCTTTGCATTAGAATGACAAAACTGTTAGTCATGAGATCACTAGGAAATATTTTTCTCATTAAATTTTTATGAAATCTATTATTGAAATAAGTGTACATGTAGTTTTTTATATGGTTAAGATAAAAATATAATGAAAAATATTCAAAAACCAATTGGATGAAATTATATTAACGTTTGTACAAATAAGGCACCTTCTTAATAAGAATGAGAATTGAGTACAATAAATTTATATGTTACTCTTTAACATATATCTTCTGTTTGTTTAGCTTTGTATACTCGAAAAATAACATTTTTAAGAAAACTCTACTTTTTTTTTTATAATTCGTAAAAAAAAGTGATATTTTCCTTCCGAGTGAACATCAGAGTGGTTCATAAATAATAATTTTCACATCGGGTCTGTTTATATAAACTGACTTTATCAGGCTAAAGATCCTGCATTTTTACGGATCTCAATAGATAAATTCATCTAAATGCATTGATTTGTGAGTGCGGATGTTGTAAATAAAGTATTCTCATATTGTAGCTTATTTATAGTATTTAATATGATTATGCAATCAAATGACATAAGAAGAAATATAATTAATGAAGACAAAACAATGAAAAATATTGAAAGAAGAATAAAAATCAAATGTAAACGTTAGTCTTCCATAATTTTATAATATTTATTTATTAAAAGATAATTTTATTGTATTTCTAGAACAAACGATTAGATACGACAAAAAAAATCATGTTAAATTAAAATTTTTCAAAAAATTCATTTCAAATAGATTATATATTAAAAAGCAAAGCATAAATTTAGTAGATTAATACAATTTCTAATGAGTAGTAAGCTATAAGACATGGAGAAAACTAAAAATGGTTAACAATAATTGATCAACATTTGATTCTTACATGTAATTTGATTTTAAGGAGTCTCTTCTTACGATTCTTGGACTGAAATTTTCAGAAATGATTGATCCTAGTGAGAAAAGCTTCCGATAAACATTTCAGTTTGATATTTTGAATCAGACCAAACTTCCGGCTTATTTATAGTCCACGTATGGTCTTTAGAAGAATCGTTATAACTTTGCCACTGCAACAGGTACAGAATTGGGGTGGTTCAAATTAAAGCCAATATCTGTGCGCAGTTTTCCATCAAAAAGAATTTTGAAATTCGCTTCCGTTCATTTTTTTTGATGATCATTTTAGTACATATATTGTTAAAATAAGCAAAAAAAATGTCACTTCACGATACTAAATCTTGTTTTTCTCAACGCAGAAATCAATTATAATAAATCTGATCATACTAAAGTTTACTCTTATTGAGATCTTTAACCCTTTAACCGTTATTGACGAGTATACTCGTCAAAGCGACCTTGATGGAAAACATGAAGACTACAACGTCTTAACTCTGCATTGTTTGTATGCTGTATTGAATCTAACGCTCTGCACTGAGTGCTACTCTCTCTACCGTTCTGATGTTTCGTATCAATTACATTTCTGTACATCAAAAGTTATTGGACGATAAGTTTATTATTTAGTTTCAAAAAATTTAACGGTTAAAGGGTTAAAACACAAAAAAATATATATATATAATTTATAGCTTGATCATGGTGAAAGTTATTTCCATCTTTCTGATTGAAAACCACGTTTTAAAAGAAAAACGTAAAAAAATTTAGACATGAATTTTTTCATTGGAATCCAGAGAAAAGGCATTTTCATAATACATGTAAGTGGAATTTATAAAAGCACGCAACACATGACACAAGCTAGCACCATGGATCGTGCTTAAATTATATAAAAATGTTCATTCAATGGTGTAGATCTTATCATCATACACACTCACACCCTCATTAGCGGATATTTTACGATACATTATGATTTGCTTACATCAGTTTTCCTAATCATAATCCTGAAGAGATGTGATGATGAAAAATAATCTATTGATTTAATAATTCATTTCTCTTGAGCTAATAATAATATACACATTCAATCCTTCAGCAAGTGAACCTGTTAAAATTTTCTATTTCAATACCGATTTTAAATAAGTTGAGGATTTTAATTTTTTTATCATATCTTGTCTTTTATGTGCACATTAATAAATAACAAATGTAAGAATAACAAAAAACTGTTTTGCATAAAATGAAATAAAAAACGAATATTCAAAAAAATGTTTGTACACGTTTACGTAAATTTGTTATTTCGTTTAATATATTTTTTGCAGGACCAAATTTTATTTTCATATCATACAATAAATCATCTTTTGTTAATAATAGAAAAGCTTTTCCATCAATATTACTTGCTAAAAAAACTTGAGCAACTATATCATTTGTTAAGTGTCGAATAAATTTTCCAACTTGAGTAATTGTCCATACATTTGGATCAACAGGTAAATCATTATTTGTGTCTTCTTCTGCATTTGAAATATTTACTTTTTTAAAATTAATATCATTATGTTCAATTGTAAATGTTTGACGATTTTCACATGAAACAAAACCATCTTTCTTGTAAATGATAATATGGTTATTTGATTTTTGATTAAAATATTTGATTGGAGACAAATCTGATCGTATAATATTAGCTGCTCTTCTTGTTGTTGACGTGTTTAATGTTGGAAGAGGAGTACTTGTTGCTCGAAACGATATTGAAGAAAATTGTGAATCGTATAGTGAAATGTTTGCTTGGTTCTCAATTGCATTATTGAACAGAGAAAAATGTTGATGAAAACTTCCAAATGTATACGATGGAATATGTTAATTTGCATTAATAAATGAAGAACAATCATTTTTATGTGAATTTAAATTATTAAATGATGTCGTTCTTGTTGCTGCATTTGGTATTGTTATTTCTATATCTTCATGCGATGAAGAACTTTTTAATCGTTTATCTATCAATTGAGCATGTTTACATGAACTAAAACAATAAAGAAACAAAAATCAATTCTAGACTTTAAAGTACCATTCGTTTTACTTTGATTGCTGACGTTTCTTCTCTGGTAAACTTAAACTAAAACAATGAAAGAAAAATGAGATATGGGTAAATCCGCCGGGTTTCTACCACTTTCGGGAAAAATCTTTTTTTTCAATTTTAATAGGCTAGTTAGACGGAACGTCGTCGAAAACGGTCTGAGGTAATAGTTAAAACCTTTTTACTCATGAAAAGTATGGGGATCCAGGTGGTTTTTTAGGAACATCTCAAGGTATATATATCGGGTGTCCAGTAAGTAACTATACAACGAAAAAGTTGAATATTTTCGTTGTGGCTCGACCAAACGGGCTCATTTTTTTTACCAAGGATAGAGGCATGTTCACACTCCAAATCTACACGGACAAGATTAGTGAGAACCTTTGTTAAATATCAATATTGACCTCAACAAGAAAAGGAGTTTCGAGTCTTTCGAAGTTACAGTTTTTCCGTGTATACCAGCTTGATTTTTTTACTGGATATGCAATTAAATGTGCCCTTTCTGGTGAAATCATTTTCAACTTGAAATTCAATGTCTAGTGAAGCACTTTTGCTCTCACATAGCCAATTTGTCTCTTTTTTGACTAATATTTGACGGTTTTCGAGCAGAAAGTGCTTCATTTGATTTTTAAAAAGTGTCATGTTTGGGGTCAGCAAAAAAAACTGAGTTGATTCATATACATTTCAAACTGTTTCTATGACTTTCATTTTTTCCTCAATTTTTCCCCCTGATCCCCTCAGGGATGGATGAAAAATGAACTTCATGAAAATAGCTATTTAATTATCTAGAAACCTCTGATTCTCTCTAAAAATAGTATTTTACAAGTCCTGAATGGCTTTTCTACTGTCGGAAACGTTTGCTCATGAAGTGAATTGTTTCGTTCATCCCTGAGGAGGGGCCAGGGGGACAATTGACGGAAAAATAAAAGTCCTAGAAACAGTTTGAAATGTATATAAGTCAACTCAGTTTTCTATGCTGATTTCAAATATGAAATTTTTTTAAAAGTCAAACGAATTACTTTCTTCTCGAAAACCGCCGAATATTGGCCAAAAAAGAGGTAAATTTACTATCAAGTATTGTAGTTAGAGCAAAAGTGCTTCATTAGACTTCAAATTTCAAGTTAAAAATGGTCTCATCAGAAAGAACACATTGAATTGCATATCCAGTGTGAAAATAAAGCTAGTGCACCCGGAAAAACTATAACTTCGAAAGACTCGAAAAAACATTATTTGTGTCAATATGACCCGATTGGGGCGGTATTTGGAATTTATCGATAGAAAAAAATTCGAATGTCTAAGGCATTCTTATAGACTTCGATAGAGAATGAAATTCTCTATCAAATGAGCCTATTTGCGACTAGCTTAATTCGGATTTTGATGGGCTTTCAGATCAAAAACTGGTTTTTACGGCTTCCAGAAAGTACTTCAGATCTTTCTTATTATCCGAGTACTTTTGAAAAATAATATGGCATTTGTAATCAGCACACATAGCACTATTGAACTAGAAAGACTTCTGATAGAACGGCGAAAAAAATTTTTTGTCGAAACCTGAGGGGGACCCCAGGAGTCAAAAAATTGAGTTGTGATAAAATGCAGAATAAACTTATGAAAAATAATCAGGGTTCAATGCTGATTATCGGACTAATAAAATTAGGCTTATCCTGTTTGGGACGATCAATCCATAATTTGGCACACCTCCTTCTCTTGTTGAGGTCAATATTGATATTTAACAAAGGTTCTCACTAATCTTGTCCGTGTAGATTTGGAGTGTGAACATGCCTCTATCCTTGGTAAAAAGAATGAGCCCGTTAGGTCGAGCCACAATGGAAATATTCAACTTTTTCTTTGTATAGTTACTTACTGGACACCCGATATATATACCTTGAGATGTTCCTAAAAAACCACCTGGATCCTCATACTTTCCATGAGTAAAAAAGTTTTAACTATTACCTCAGACCGTTTTCGACGACGTTCCGTCTAACTAGCCTATTAAAATTGAAAAAAAAGATTTTTTCCCGAAAGTGGTAGAAACACCACGGATTCACCCATAATGTGCATCTTGCAACATCTACACATCTTGAAACTCTCATCCTCAAGAAAAATTTCGGCTCCTAACGGTTCAGTTCTCGGCTCCATTTTTTTTTGGAATCGCAGAACTCTAGTACTAACTATTAAAGAATACCTTTCATTTGTATGGGTGGGTGGTGTGAGGGTGGGTGCAGTTGGGTGAGGGTCGACTGGCGAATTCTTCACACCCGCACTCACACGCCCATACCCATCCATACTCACACTCACCCACACCCAATATCGCTAATGATGATAGAAACTGAGACGATTTTCAGGACATGGATGATTATGGTACCAATAATTAAGATAGAATTTTATCATGAAGTGATAAGTACAGACAATGTTCTTAATTGAAGCAGCTTTTTCGTAGACGCAAAAATTTTCCTTTTTTTTTCAAACAATGTCAAAGAAACTTAAGAGTGTTTTATATTATTTAATAGAGAAGTGTCTGCTCAATCGAATGATGCAAAAATCAGTCAATTATCTTGAAAATTAACTGAATAATTATAGATAGTTTTGTGCCTAATTGAATTTGTCATAAGATGGACAATACATGTGAAATAAATAGACAATAATATATTTCTATTAAATAAACTTTTTCCCTATCTGAACTTGAAAGTTTGTTTGTATTTCCGTCATAAGACTTGTTCCATGACGGATGGTCTATTAATTTACAATGGTTTAAGATAAACAAAAGTTTTCTTTTTTATCAATTCTATCAATTCGAAATTATGGCATTCCTATTAAATTTTAAACTGCGATAACTCAATTATAACTTCGTATCAATCAAAAATATTAAAGTTTATTGCGTACCCACATCCTTTCTTTCCATAATTGTGCTTCTTTTATTATGAAAAAGATTCACGAAAGAGATTTTATTAAGGTATGACGAACAATCATATGTTCAACACAATATTGCTCAAAGATGATATTTGCAAGTAAGAATCAAACAAAGTTGGATTTGATTAAAGAAATAATTATGAAACTGAACATTCATGTAATGAAAACCGAGAAAAAAAACCAGCGGTTTTCCACGGTTTTATCAACCCAGTTATCGACTGCTTTACAGGGTTCTCTCAGAGTTTGTAGTTATTATAGAATGTACTATGTGTCTGTGCTCCCAAAAACAGGTGTTCGTTCCCGTGAAGTTTTTTTTAAATCGTTCGTCCGAAAACGAAAATCTCAATAAAATGTTGAACAATTCTCTTTATATCAAAATTAAATTAATAACATCAATCAAGATTTATTTTATTTATGATTATTAGCTTTGTAAAACATCTCTATGTTTAACTATAAATGAAATTTAAATACAATAATAAACTTTAATAATTATTATTAATCTACTAATGTCTCTGAATTCGTATTTATCTTCAATTCTTTCTGCTTATCAAAAGATTCTTTTTGTAATAAGAATGATGATGATGTTGAATGAAGTCGAATATGTTTATTTAAATTTGACGGATCACTAAATGGTCGAAAACAAACTCGACATCGCAATGGTTTATATCCTGTATGTGTACGAAGATGAATTTTTAAACCATATTTTCGATTATAAATCTAAAATAAACCAGAATATTTTTTCTATATAAAATCTTTTGTTTCTTTTTTAATATTAATTTACTTTGCCACAAAATAAACATAAATGACCTTTACGTTGTCTTCCATCGGTATCTAATGAAGTAAATTCTAATGCATGAGTACCATCAAGTACACTCATTTTATAAGATGATACATCATTTGTTGAAAATCCAATGGATTGTTGTCGTTTATGTTCTTTTTCTTTAATTTCTTCATTTTTTGATTTATTAATAATCGTATTTTGATGAGACGATGAATTTTTTGTTGATAATTGTTCATTGAAATCAATATTATTCGATAGTATTGAACTATGATGACATTGATTCATAAGAACATGTGCAACAAGTACATTTAAATAATGTTGATCTATTTTACAACGTGAACATCGTGTTGCTATTTAAACGACAAGATATTTTATTTTTTCTTATATAACAAAATAGTGAATCTTACATTTAAGGAGTTCTTCAACTTTAAATATTTTTGTTAATTTAATTTTTTCACATATTGTACGTAATTGTGAAAGACTAAACCATGCAAGAAGAGGTTCATCTGGTACTATTAAACGAGTTGTTCGAAAACCGTATATATGAGTTTCAGATGATTGAAATAATTCTATATTTTGTTCATCAGGTGTACGAGCACTTTTTATTGCTAAGATCCATTCTTGAAATAATCCTGGTCCAATTAAATATTGATTCCAACTATGAATCTAAATAGAATATAGTCGAATAAGTTGACACGAGTAAATGAGCAAAATTTTCATAGAACAAAAATTAGTCCCGACATCATCTTGTTCATATCTAGTACCAGTGTAGTTTGTCAAATACGTTTTTTTTTTTTCTAAAATTTCTTAATTTTTGAATAACTTACGAACGAGAAAAGATCATGGCTAAGTAATGATACTTAAAGAATGAAAGAAATTTTTGTTATGTCATCTTACTAATTTACTGAAAGATTACTTGAAGATGTATTAGATTGAATCAATAGTTCAAACATTACAAATATCAATTTGAATAAGAAGAAGAAACCAAATTTGTTGATGAAAAATATTAATAAATACTATTTCGAAAATCCAATATCTTTGTTACAGCTGACAAATTTCGGATGTGGGTGTAATTATAAAATATTTTTACAAGCATATGCCCTCTTTAGGAGACGTTTTCTCTAGCTTCTATTCGATTATGCCATTAAGCTTTCGCTCTTAGACATCAAACTATAACTGTCAATAGGACTCTAATAGGATAGTCTCTGGTATGGTCTATACCAGCAAATTGAATGATAGTATGTCGAGTTAAGATTTTGCTTCCATACAGATCTATTTGTCAGTAGAATGTTCTGAGAATTTTGACTCAAAAAAATATTTTCTTCTTGAGATATTAAAGTTCGAAAAAAAACAGACAATTCTTGCATCCTTCGTATAATATGAGTAATTTTGGGGTCTTTAATATTTTAGGAAGGAAATATTCTACTGATAGATAGACCTACCTGTGGGAAGAAATCTCAGATTGAAATACAATCATTCGATTTGTTGGTATATTTCATGCCAGAAACTAAAATTTCCAATAAAATGCCTATAATTCTTAACAAAAAGGTCTCAGAAGACTTATTCTTTGCATTTTATTAGTTGTAAATAACTCACTCAAAATGACTTGTCATAGTAACTTTCAGAGATAGTGTTTCAAGATCGCCAGAATTAGAAGGACACCTTTTAGAAGTTAATCGAATTTGAAGGATGAGCGTTTTCTTTTCCAATCATGCATACTCATCTGTTCGAATCCTAATTCATATCCAACGAAATATGCCTACATTTAATATTAATAACTTACTGGAATTTTATTATAATGTTGAGTATTATCATAAAAATCAGTTA